TCTTTGAAAGATTTTTTTTTTGTTTAATATTTATTTTACAGCAATGCGCTACCCTTCTGGATTAAAAAAAAAGTTATTTGTCCTGAAATGTGACCCTGTCCTAAAGTCCAATCTGCTTGCGGTGTCCCAGTAACGGCGGTCTGGACCCGTGGTCTTCCGGCGGGGTGACGCACAACGTGTCTGAGTCCCTGGTGTCCATCATGATTCCGGACGGCGCGCATCACCTGGACCTGCGCTACGCCAATGATCTGGACCCGCCTTCCGTACGGGAGGCCCGCAAGTTGGAGCTGAGCTATTTTTGGAAGTGGATCAGACAGGCCGCTAAAAAGCATCAAAGAGTGGCAAAGTCGGGCTGAAACCCTCCAAAATGAGATGTTCCAGTTTTTGCACCAAATGCATTTGACTATTATATTTTTACACATTTGAATGAAAGCTTTTATAAATCGCCCCCAAATCGAAATCATTCGAGTTGCGGGTGAGCTGCAGTCTCTTTGCAGACTTCCACAGTGTGGCAACAAATTTTGTTCGTGTACCCTCAACCTGAATCAATTCTGCACATGCGCCGTAACGAGATGCAATCTTCCAATGCATGAAAAGGGAGGGCGGGGCACTCAAAATGATCACGATTCAGCATTTGTAAGTCTTGAAGCATGTGAATTAAAACAAAAAGAAAAGATTTAAGACGAAGAATGTTTTATTCATCAGTTTTTATTGACCATTTTTTTGTAAAGCCATGACCTCATCCTCTCTGCCTCTAATTGGCTGGTACTCGCTGATCTTGCTAATTAGATTGGCTCATGAGTCTTCATAAAGTTAAACAATCAGTCGGGCCAGTCATGCCGAAGAAAATATTGCCATCTACGTATCTCCATTCGAGGAAGGCGGGAAGTTGGACTTTTCCGACCTCCGTCAAGGAAGAGTGCACTTAAAATAATAATAATTAAAAAAAACAAAAACAAAACAGTGAACATTGAGAGTCCACCCACTTCTCCATGGAACACTACACCACTCATAGTTACCCTGATAATGATGCCCAGTTTGGTCCGGTCTGTTTTCTTTGCATTTTGATGTGCATGATGTGCTTTTAATAGAAGGCTTGGGCAGATCTTTCTAAGATTTGAAGCCTCCAGAGCGAGCGGTAACAATGGCAACGAAATTTAATAAAAGTCCACAGTCGGAGGAGGCCAATAACGCAACTGGCAGGAGGTTATTGCCATCTGACCCCGTCCTGCGGGATCCCTCATCCCGGTGACCTTTCACTCACCCACCGCTTGTATGTTTCCCCTGCTAGCAATCATATTAGAGAAGAGAGAAAAAAAAAACAAAAGACCTGTCTCATTCTACCAACTTTTTTGCATCCACATTCCACAGAATTCAAAATTGAAAAGATTCACAAAATTCAGGAAACATTCCTCGTATTTCCATTCCAGTTAATGATACATTTAAAAATAAAGGAAGAAATTAAACAAAAATAAGAATATCCCGAGAACTTCATTCCGAGTAGCGACATATACTATTTTTATATTCATTAGTTTGGCTTCTTCAAACCTCAAACCTTGTCTATCTGTATCTTGTACCTCTTGATGCCCGTAGGATGTGAAACGGAACAACGTTAGTTTTTTTTTTTTTTTTTTAATCTTTGAGCTACGTGACGAGTGAGCCTCTTATCATTCGGCACCCAATGTGGCGTAAACCGACAACTCTGTTTATTTTAGGACCGCACGGACAAGTTAGCTTGTGAGCATTTAGCACTTGCGTGAATGAACTTGGCTTTTTTTCACCTTGTAACCGCTGCGTTTGAGGGTTTTCCGCAGCGGCGCATACATTGACGACGCTTCGCTCACAACGGGGTAAGAAACCGATCAGTCAATGCTTACTTTTTGGACAATGCGGGCGCGTTAGCCTGTTAGCATTTAGCTGGTACTTTCATTTGCTTTAAAATGTCTCTAAAACCGGGACACCAACCTTTTTGAAACTGAGAGCTACTTCTTGGCTATTGATGAGCACAAAGGGCGACTAGTTTGATACATTTTACTGATACTAGTTAGATTTTTTAAAATTCGGCCGACTCAAAAATTTCTACCTCAAAGTGGGGGTCAATACGATTATCAGAGTCATGGAATTCTAAACAGATTCTTTAGTGACAGTCCTAGTCATTATTAATTATTCATGACGTTCATTTATGTGAAAACAGTGATCAGATTCATGATTTCTCACAATAATTAGGAAAAGATAAATACCAAAGTGCGACACTTTATTTCTATTAACCCCTTAAAGTTAGGATGTCTCTCATTCACTTGTTTGCATTTTCAAACGATTACTTCTCTAACATTCCGAGAAAATCACAATGCCCTATATCTGGTGAGCTATTTTTGGAATAGGCTCGCGGGCTATTCATGAGCTCCTTGAGGGCTACCCGGTGACTACGGGCATGACATTGGTGTCCCCTGCTCTCGAAGAAGCTGACATGATGCAGATGGGCGACAAGTCCAGCGTTGGTTCGTTGCATTAAAAAAAAAAAAAAAGGCAGAAGAATAAGGGGGGGAAAAACCTGGACATGTCGCTGCCTTGTCACGAGCTGCGCTGACTTTTCAGACGACAAGATCTACTGCCCGGCGCGAGGGAGGACCATCGGGATCCCCGCCACCCAAAGGCCCTCCTTAAAAAGTTTTCTCAGGACTCGAAGGGGTCGTTTATTCCGCTGGCGTCAGGCAGTGGCCATCAATCAAAGGTGTTGTTTAGTATTCACCGGAGGCCAAATGCGGGAGTGCGTTGCGTTAGTGGAGGGGACCACACACACACATACACTACATAGGAAGAAATTAAAGCTTGGGGGTGTCGCATTGAAGAAGGGAGTTGGGTAGCTCCTGAATAAGTGAATTCTCAGACAGTAAATTAAAAATGACTTGCGCACTTATGAGATGAAGGAATTCGAGCTCTAGCTCAGAGAAATTGTTTTAAAATGAAATACAAAAACATGCTTTGTCCTGAGAAATACGAGAAACTGGAATTTGAACCTCCCCAAAGGATTAAAAAAAAAAAGGTCTCCCTTCCACAACAAAGCCAATCCCGCTCGCTAACCTTGTGCCCTTTCAGCCTTTACGCAACAATGGGAGCTTGTTTCCGGTATGTGTGCGTCATGCACCACCAATGTCAATGACTCCCCCCACTGCAAACCCCCCAAAAGCCCCGTCCATCCACGGCAAAACGGTTGGGAAGATGGAGGTGCTTTGGCAGAGGCGGCCCGGATGCTAACCTCCGCGATCAAAGTGATGCCATTCTGTCATCATGCCGTCAAATGGATTTAAATGAGCGTAAAGTGGCAACAGCACCATGCATGGTGCTTTTTATTCAGCGCAATGTTAGAATTGGCCTGACAAACTCTTCCCACCATTAATGGCAACGCTGCGTATTGGGCAAAAAAAGGCTGTCATCTAATTGATATTTCTTGCATGGCAGTGATGTCAGTGTGTTTTTTTTTTTTTTTTTTTTTGACTGACACATGCCTATATTTCTATTGGTCAAAGGCGAAGCTATGATATACTCCAGGATTTCCGCCTGGCAACAAAGAGTGGCATCAGAGCACAGCTGAACGCCGACATATTTGTGGTTTGGCATTTGCGGCTCATATTTTTTTTCTTTGAAGGATATACATGCCATTATTTGCGGAAAACCTTTTTTGCTATTTTTGTGCACGAGCAAAATCCATGTCTCGTATAAAAATATTGTTCCGCTGCCATCCGATGGCATCTTGGTACCGAGTAACTATGTTGAACTGAGTGGAGGAGCTTCATATCACCAGGCCATGGACTTTTCTCATAGAAAAAGATTGCCATCTTGTGGCACCTATAGTCACTTACAATCCTATAGAAGTGGGCGTCAGTTACACGCCGATTGACACTGTAACAGGCATTCGCTGTATTTTTGTGGCAGTACATTCTCCCAAAACTGTTTCAAAGCATGTTTGACTTCTGAAGAAATAAAGCAAATCCCAGAGGCATGTGGAAAAAAAAAACAAAAAGCAAAACTTTTAATGTGTCTAGGAAGGAAAACATCAATTAAAAAAAAGAAAGGATTTTTTTTTTTTTTTTGGGGGGGTGAAAAAAAAAATCTCCACATCACACAGCCCCAGATCTAATTCGATCAGTATTATCATTTTCACTGTCACGCTTTTTTTTTTCTTCTTTGCTTCAATTAGCATGAGAAAGAATGTTGAACAGCCTTCCTCCATCCCTCCAACTCCAAAAACAGCTCACCTCAAGATGCGCCGTTTCCAAGAGGAGCCAGATGAATTATTCAACGAGCGACTGGCACAAAATAGTTAGAGTGCATCTTTAAAGCAGCCGCGAAAAAAAAAAAAAATCGCCGCTGGCAAGCAACATGGCGGCCCCTTTCAGTGGCTGGCAAGGCGACTTCCTGTAAAGACACCCCCGCCGAGGCTTCATACGCGGGATTTCTGTCAAAGTCAGCCTGAGCTCTCTTCTGGCTTGCGTTCCTTTTTTTGGCTTTTTTATTTATTTTTTTTTATTTAACAGCTCCGGCAGCTTTTCCAGTTAAATGGACTGTTCCATTATTGGAGAAGCATTTTAGCGAGGGGCTGTGAGGTGCAATTTAATGAATCTCTGGCACAAAGCTCCCATTCACTGGGCCCGACGAAGAATGGGGGCTATTTAGACCCTGTAGGGCTTTATGTCAAAGGCAGCCCCATAATAGTTGTCAGGCCGGGGCAGAAATTCCCACTGGCCTGGGAATGCACCAGAAATCAACTTTATGTCACCGCTAGATTAAGACACAAGTAGCCACCAAAATGTTCGGGGCCAAATCGCCGCATCTGTTTGGGCGCTCGGATTTTCCCACGATGAGAGGCCTTGCTCGTTACTGTATTGCAAAAGACGCTCAAATTCTTCTCGGTAGTCCCAACGGAAAGATAGTCTGGTTTTGAAAAGGATGGCTTTTATTCATGTCGAGTCATCCAGTTTTTCTTGAGAGAAATCTTTCTTTGGAATCTTTGATACCCAAATTGGGATTCGAGTGGTGTCTGAATAGTTTTCCTTAGCGTTCCTTTTGGCTGGATCAGGATGAAATTCTGGTTTGGGGTCAAAAAAAGCAATCAAGAGCTTTTTTTTTTTCATTTTTCCTGTGAATTCTCATTTGCCAAAAAGGGATAAAGAGCAGTCAAGTCCTCCTTTTGTAGGGTTTTTTTTTTTTTTTTTTTTTTAACACACGGTCATCCTTACAACTTTTACTGGGCGTGAGCGCACACAAACTCAAACGACAGGGGAGTGTTCCAAAGCGAGGTTATTGTCCTTTGCTCAGCATGGAATCTCAAACAAAAATCCCTCTGGGAATGCAGGTGGCCGCGGGACAAGCAAAGAGTTAAGTCCCCACACTCTTTGAAGGGCCAAGCGCCCCCCCCGCCCCTTTTTTTTCCCTGACATCACGGGGTCCGGCCCCCTGAAAGATCCCCTCGTTCCGCTCGGCATCTCCTCACTTGTGCTCCGGAATGTCGAGCGGCATCAGGACGGCAGGGAATATGATCTAAGGAACTCGGTCCGGATCGCGGCGGATGAGGAATGGCCGCCATCATGAACCCGCAGTTCATGAGTTTCTGCTTCCCGGGCTCGGCGATGGACGGGGGTCTCCTGGGCGAGCCGGAGAAGGAAGAGGACTACAAGGAGACCACCAGGGAGTTGCTGAGCTTCATGGACTCTGCCTCCAGTAACATCAAGCTGGCCTTGGACAAGCCGGTCAAGTCCAAGAGGAAAGTCAACCACCGCAAGTATCTGCAGAAGCAGATCAAGAGGTGCACCGGGATCGTCAACGTCACCGACGCGGCAGGGAAGGGCCACGGTTCCTCCGCCCCGGCGGGCAAGACCGTCCCCAAGCGCGACGGCGTCCAGGCCAGCTTGCAGAACCGCAGCCTGGCCGCCCTCTTCAGCCCCGCCAAGGAAATCCGCGGTGAGAAAGCCAGGAAGCCACCCCTGCGCCACCGCAACCTGCCGCCTTCCTTCTTCACGGAACCGGCCAACTGCTCCAAGGTCAACCCGGTGGCAGGAATGTCACTACGAGAACTGGAGCGGGCCAACCCGGAGGCGGCGGACTTCTTTGACCTTCTGGGACCCGACTATGTCGGCGTGGCAGCGGAGCAGGAACTCTACCAAAGTGTGCCCGGCCCAGACGCCGCCACCGCCACCTCCTGTGACGGGCACCACTTCGTCGGGGGTCTTCCTTACCCGGAGTCGTGGACTAGCTGCTCACCGCCGCTTGCCAGGAAGCTCCCGACTCCCGCGCAGCCCCCGCTGTACTGCCACCAGGAGGCCGCCACCCCTGTGGGCGCCGAGGATAACGCCCTGTGCTCGTTAGCCTTCTCGAACTTTTTCACAGACTGCTCCGTACCTCAAGTCAACTACGACTTAACTTGTGACTACAACAGGACTCATTATTCATCTCTATGAGAAAAAAAAAACAAATCTTGTCGAGGGGGTTTTCATCTTTGTGACAGAGTTTCGTTGTTATGGCGACGAATTAGTTTGAACACATTGTAGTATGTCACTAACCCATGCTAAAGCAGAAGTTAAGTTATAATTACAGACACCATTTGTGTGCTAATCAATTTTAGATTCTAAATATAGTACAATAAAATGAAAAACAGTAAATACAGCCTTAACTGAGGGCGCTGCCTCGTACTCGGTTCTTGAAATGTTGGATGTGAGGACCCACTGTCATGGCCGAACTCAGGAATGATTGAGGGTGTCCGTGGGTATTAAAAATTAGCATGGGGGACGAGGGGTGCTCGGTTCAAGACGGTTTTTCTCCTGTCAATTTTGATCACCGAGCTGTAATCAGAGGAAAAACTCATGGTGCGGCCACCATGGTCCCCTGATCTCAACCCTATAGAGAACCTTCAGAGCATCATTCAAAGGAGGATCTATGAGGGTCGTCGGCGGGATAAAAGGGGGCTCTTGATTTACGACAGTGATGTCCCGAAGACGAATTCGCACTGAAGTTGGAAGGCGCCATAGTCTACCATTAACGTCGGCTCATAATTGCAATAAATATTTGGATGAAAACACCTCCATGGCCGTCGTTATAAACAAATGACTCCATAAGCTAGTTAAGTGTGCACCGTTTACAACCTTGAATTATCACGAATTGGCGGTCCCCAGTATTACATCAGAACAACAACATGTAACTTCCTTCAAAACATCTGACTGGTCGACTAGTTTAAGAGTTGTCATGGCAGGTCATGTACATGGGCCAGCCAGGGTGGAGCTTGTCCTGGCCAAGAACGTGATCTGTTAGCATCACTGCTAGCATTACAGTTGCGTGTTGTGTACAGACTTTGCCAACCTGATCAGACAATGTTTCTGTCAGAACCCAAAATATCAACGTCTGCCACACAAATAATCCTCCAGTGCATTTCAAGAGGCTAGTTGCAGTTAGCGGTTAGCATGTACGTTTGTGTGCTTGACTGCTTATGAAGTCATCAATTTTTGTCGGAATCTGTCCGAAGAGCCCTTGTGTCAACAAAACTCTATTCCCGACTGTGGTTTTTAAATAGCCGCATGTTTGAGAGGAGTCTCGAAATATTTGCACGGTTAGGATTTGGCTGCATAAATCACACACAATCAGATCACCGTAAATGTTTGCCATTTTGACGAACCTCTGGTGTGGATCACTTTTAATTTTTTTTTTAAGTGCTGATGATCAAAGCTAAAAAAGCAACACAGAACAAACCAGGAAGAACTGTGTTAAATTCATTTGTAATCTATTTTAGATGTACTAAGTTGAAATAAAGCTGGTCTTTATTGCTCTGTAAACTGCGCCTGATTTTTTTTTTCCCACTCAGCTGATAAAAGTGACAAACTACCAGGGGCAAAGTTCATCAGTCAAAGCCATATTATATTTTAAGATGTGCCACAACCGTGCAGTTCATTTAAAGTTACCCCGCCACATATTTAAAAACAACATTAAATTGATTCAATTATAATATTAAGACTAGCGTATAGCGTACATGTGTACGTACAAAAGACATTCCGGGCTGCTTGCCTGCATTGATCCTCCTCCACTGCCTGGAAAAGACCCCAAATAACCAATGAAGAATAAATAGTCTTCTAATGATGGTAATTAGGATGTAAAAGAATAAAGCAGTGTATGTTAACTGACTATAACAGTGATTATGCAACTAAATGCAGATCTCGTTTAATTTATGGGTGCCTTAAGTACGTGAAAGAGCACCACTGATATGGGTAGATGACTGATGAATTACTGAATGCACTTGAAATGACTTCTCCTGTTAAAGTCCTAATTCCACAGTTTGATACGGTGAACACAATAATCATAATTATGAATAAATGCATCCATCCATGAATTTTCTAATTCGCTTTTCCTCACGTGCCTGCCATGCAAAATAAATGAGACGGAAGCCCAAAACACAACTGGGAGAAGTCACCCGAGAATGTGTGACGCCCCCTGCCATCTGCTTTGTGGAACTACAGCAAGAGGCTCAAACGCGACGACAATAATCACGTTTAACTTTTTATATTCGGTTTTTTTTGTAGCTTTCGAACATGTTAACAGATAATGAACATTAATGACAGAATTACGGAAAATAAGAAAAAAAAGTGCATTTGTTGTCATGTTAATATGTTTTTTTTAAATTTGAGCAAATGCTAATTGTCTTTACAAAGTACACATACACACTCAGAGGAACTGTTGTAAAAAGCTCCAAACACGTTTTGCCGCCCCAAAATATCTATAATTATAATAATCATAATATTTATAACAAGTAATTTTATATTTTACGAATAATAAAATAACAAAAAAATACGCACGAGTTCTAATACTAGTACTTCCAATAACACTACAAATAGTAATAATAATATTGGTAATCAATTTACAAGAACTTGATATTTTATTAATTATGGAACTTTAAAGAAGAAAAAAATAAAAATATTTAAAAAATGAAAATAAATGAAAATGTGTATGGGAATGTAGACAACTTTAAAAAAAAAGTAGAAAAAAACTAGATGTCCACTAGATGGCAGTAAGATTCCATATCAGACCACTCCGTATGGAGGTCGAAGGCCTGATGCGTCTATCACAGAAGATAACAGGAGATAACATAATATGTATAGCCCAGTGTGTGTGTGTGTGTGTGTGTGTGTGTGTGTGTGTGTGTGTGTATACATATATATATATATATATCTGTATATAAATATATAAATTTATTTTATGTATTTATTTAATCTTCCCCTCCCAGCTAAATCTTTTCAAGCCATTTGCAGGCCTAAACAGTGTAATGTCCACACAGGAGGCATATGGATTTTGTGATACGGGCTGACATTGGGATTAGTTGCCATTCTGTTCCTCTTTGATTTATGACACACAGGAGAGGAGATGTTTGTCAAAGCGATTAACCAAAAACATCTTGGAAAACCAAGGCAAGAATCCAAGTCAAGTCCGTCGTGTTTATATAGCGTCAACTCACAACAGAGAAGACGTCTGGAGAACCTTGATATATGGCTCGGGTCAAGAAGCACACCTCTCACTTGGAAGAAAAATACAATAAAGAATGGACAACACGTCAAACCTTACCGCTACCACAGAAGAAAACAAAACAAAACATTTTATGACAGATGTAAAATTCAAAATAAACAAAAGTGGGAACGTAACATAAAAACAATTACCTGAACGTTGATTTGGCAGAACATATTTTTTGACATATAATTGGCTGTAAATAAGCAGTGGTTCAAATCACATGCGTGTGTGTGTGTGTGTGTGTGTGTGTGTGTGTGTGTGTGTGTGTGTGTGTGTGTGTGTACAGACAGACTTGAACAAAACCGTTTCTCAGATGAATTCATGTTCATGTCAGTTCGACATTCAACAGATGGCGTCCAGTCCTTTTCAGGTTTGTTTGGTCGCAGGCTGTCAGTTGCCCTTTAAAGACCTTCAGTTCTCGTCCTTGCGTCCTCCCAGAAATCAAGTTAGGCCTGGCGTCATTAATATTCCTTTCGCGGCCCGCTTTCTTATTTTGTCAGGCTGCTATCACAGCACGGAGAAAGTGTCTCACTGCTTCACTCCATTTCTTGCGCCTGCATTTCATGTCTGGCTGCCTTTCATTTGGGCGTGTTTTGGTCCTCGGGGGGGTGTTGCGGAGGATGCTCACCACCTTTGTTGGTGTGATAACGGCGACGATTTGAGTCACGTCTGCATCCGTGACGCCGAAAAAGTGAGTCACGATTCAAAGACGCACTTTGTTAGCCAGTGGGCTACTTCCTGGTTCAAGGAGGAGTTAACTATTGGATGCATGACGCCGTTTGAAAATTTTGGTGGAAAGTATTTTCCCGAATGATTTTTTTTTCCCTCCACATCTGTGAACATCTGATGGACGGATAATATTTGTATTCTTCTGTTTTTCATTTCGTTGGTCAGTTAGCTCGTTCCTTCATTCGTCCATGCATCAGTTAGCCAGCTAGCTAGCATTTGAGGTGAATGTAAACAACCAAGATGGCCGATTCCGATAACTTGTCTGTTGTTCTGGGTCATCGCAACACATTTTGACCTCCAGCAAAACGTTTCCATCATTTCCTCACTTTATATAAATAAAGGATTATCTTGTATTTCATTCACTTCACCAAGTAACTTCCGAACGGCTCACGGCATATCTTCATGCAGTCCATTCAAATCACGTTGTGTTATGTGTAAGTTATTTTGAATAAAGTTCAAAGCGGGAAACATCCGACTTCGCAACTTCCTCGAATGCAGCATTCGCTCTTTGAGCATCGAATAAATCAACACTTTCATCCCTCCCTCCATCCGTCCGTTTGTCCATGGTGGCTGCTGTCCAGTCAAGTCTGGGTCACGCATGGGTGGAGTCAGGATACAAGACGTGTTTTCAAAAGTTTTTTTCTCCATGTAGTTGGCCACGCTCCATTGGAGCAAAGGAGTTTGAAATAAAAGGGAATTCTGGGGCCCCACAGCCAAATAGAATCTTTTGGCAGGATGTTAATTCATCCCTGGAACATTCGAGTTGCTCGAAATCTTTCCTTTGAAACTGCCAGCGACCTGCTCACACATCAGGGACGGCCATTAGAGTTTTCTCTAAACCCACAAATCGGTGCCGGAAAAAGGAGACGCATCTGGAGTTGGCCGTTGATTAATTTGTTTTTCCATTTAACCGCTAATATCTCCACCGGAGGAATGAGGACGCTTGGTTTGCCGGAGGCATCGCAGTTCAAATGCGTTTTTCATCTCGCGGCGTGTTAACGAGGACAATAACACGGTTCCTGGAACAAATGATCGTTGTAGACATGACATCCAGTCCGGTTTCTCTTGTAAAAATACCTTCCGATAATCTTTTGTTTTGGTTCATTATGGTCTAGTCAGGGCAAGGATTTCCCAACCACTATGATCAGAAATCAACAAATGTCCTGTGGGAAATGGTCCACTTCCGCTTAACTCTATCAATGTCAGCCATCTTCAAAAAACAGAAGAGAAAGAGTCTTGATTGCCAGCCGATTTAGAGCATTCTTTCCCAAAAAATATTGTTTTATGAAAACAGAGAAACTACCAAAAGGAAGATTTGACTCTCTTCATTCATCACAGAAAAAAGTTTGTCTCTACCGTATTGGATTTTTTTTTTGTAACGTAATCAGCAATAAAACATAGGTTGGTTTCACAAACATCTGAACATGACTTCTTATACCAACAACAATGAAAATGTGCTTTTGATGACAAAATCACGTATTTACACCAATTTAACAATTTTACATGACATACAATTTCCATTCTATTTTGTTGTAGTAGGAGTAGCGGTATTTAGTAGTGTGTGCGCGCGCCATGTGTGTGTGTGTGTGTGTGTGTGTGTGTGTGTGTGTGTGTGTGTGTGTGTGTGTACGTGCGTATATGTATGTAAATTACGTCATTACTTCTAAATATACAAATTATTTCTGTCATTTTTTTTCTCTCTTCTGTGGCACTCTTGGTGGTAGATTTAACATGACAAACACTTTGGTCAATCACAAAGTGCTTGTAGGGTCACATTTCCAATGAGCTGCCTTTTTTTAGGAGCATACACATTGTTGTGCCACACGATGAGTTCCTCAAAGAGATCCATCTGCTGGCCATAATTGTTGTTGTTGTTTTTGTTCTCCCGGCTTAATGATGCAATCACAGTTGGCCAAGACTTTTCTCCACACATTCCCATTAAAAAAAAAAAAAAAGAACAAAAAAGTAGCTGCCGGCAATTGATGTCGACGGCGCTCCTCGTTAGGATCCCAATGAAGATTTCAGGTCATCGGCGCTCAGAGTTAATTGGTCACAAAATTGTTTACTTCCAACAAATGATGTACATGAAGCCCCCGTTTATGGTGCGGGATACGTTCCGCTGTTGAATGAAAATTGCATTTTGAGCAATCATATTTCTATTACTGTACTGAGCAGTCAGAACCGATACAACATCACTGTAATTGCCATTTCCTCTTTTGTGACCACCATTCAATTTTATCTCCTGCGTAATATTCAAGATGTCCAAACCAAATTCCCAAAGAGGTTTGCGCGGCTTATTTCTATCACTCGTGTCTTGTCACTTGCAGGGTGCGAGAAACACAGCTGTCACCTCAGCCGACGCCCGGAGGTTGGCGTTGCCTCGTCTGCACTCGTCGCTGTGATAGTGGCGACGTGATTGCAAAAGTCGTGCCTTTAAAATAGACGCGACCTTGCCAAATCATTGGCAAACGGGCCGGCCCGCTGGTGCCGGTGCGATGCGGTTATGAGCCCCAAATGTCTCCACGTGTGTGAAAAAAGTTCATTCCTCTCG